ACTGCAACTGAAGTGATGAGACCGCATCCGAGATTCCGAGGTAAACCACGACTGATGCCAATCCGTTCAATCCCTCAAGGTGACGCACCAAGTAAGTAACACTGTATGAGAATACACAGAGGCCGACAGACCGAGAATGCCTTCCACCACCACTTCCACCACTTCCAATCCTCTGCTCAAAGGCGCAAATGAGCAGTACAGAAACCTGAGCACACGCAGCAACCAACAAGAAGAGGACAATGAGTAGAAAACCAAATGCACTATAGTCACGCCCAAACCAGATGCTAGAGAGGATGAAAAAGAGCTCCATAAAGATGGTAGGAAAAACAATGCATCCATAAACAAGGAAATGGTTAGCATTGACAGTGGGTGTAGAGGAAAACTCTCAAGAATCATATACACCTTGATAGAGTATATGGGCCTGGAACCCATGGCCCACATACTCAAGTCAACGATGACCAGAACAACATCCACGTGGCCCCCTTCGGCCCAGTGGGGTCCGCATCGGCCAGGAACCAAACCGGCCCAGGAAGCGCACCTGGACTTCTGGGGCCGCATCGGCCCATGGACCGCACTGGCCATGGGACCACATCGGCCAAAAGGCGCCGCATCGGTCAGACTTCGTCCTGGCAGAATACATCTCTCTACTTTATTTGCTAAGAATTGTACTCAGCCCATTAGTGGCCTTATTTCGCCCAAAAAGGCATGATTATTGTAATGGGCCTCCTAAGCCCATGGCTAGGAGCCCAAGTCCACATTTTTACCTATAAATAGACCCCTTGAGGCTAGTTATAGGGGGTTGAGAAATATAATTACTCACTTTCTCTCTCTAGCTCTCACTTCTCTCTAGAATTAATACTCTATCATTTGGTGCTTTCATTGAGAGCCTAGAACAGATCAAGTGAGTACCTTTCGTCGCTACCAGACACTACCACTAGCTATGACAAGGACTAGGTCAAAGAACACTGGTAGGAACGCCCCCTGAACCAGGAAGGGCAGGGGAACGTTGCTGACAACGTCCCCAATGATCTCATCATTCAGAATGAGAACGCACAGGAGGTCGAGCACGCAGCGGCTGACCTTCGCACCCAGCTCAACAGGACTGCCCCATATGCCCGCATCGGGCTCGAGGACAGACGCGCCGCAGATCGCGCTTCGGGCCAACAGGGTTCTCCCCCTACTGCCCCCCAGATCAACCCGGCCGCACTATCGGCCATCGTCGCGAGCAGCCTACAGGATCCCAACGTGGCCAGCGTTCTGGTTGCGAAGACCGGGGAGAACAACACTCCGGCAACTGGAGAGGTCGCGACGGTGCCACCACCGCTACCCCGCCCGCTTGGCGTCACCTTCTTCGGCAACGATGAGGGTGTCGTCGCCGTGGACACCCACTCCCATACCGCCTCTCCTACCCGGGATACACCGGCCCAACCTTGCGGTAAAATCTCGGCCTTCAACAGGCTGGGTGACATCGCGAGCCGTCGGGTACCTACGGGAAGGGTGGCGGATCGGTTGGGTGGTCGCGAGCCGGGATCACCAAAGGAAAGCTTCGGGTCCGTTTCCCGGACAACGGATTGGCCCCGACCAGACAAAGGCAAAGGAAAGCTGGAGGACGGCGATGCGCGTCACCAGATCAACCAGGCCCACACAGCCTGGATCCAAACTCCACTAGGTGGCGCTGCGGCCACCAGGGACCCCAGGGACGAGATCATTGCCCGTCTCGAGAAACGCCTCGCTGACATGGAGGCCCGGGAGGCCATAGGGCGTGCAGCGGCCCTTGCCTCCCAGCACCCCAATTACGATGCACTTCTGAGCAAGGTCAGTGCCCTAGAGAGGGAGTTGGCCGACCGACGCGACGAGCCTGTCATCCAAATACGGACCAAGACCCCTTTCTCGGCGAGGGTGCTCTCCGCCCCCATCCCAGAGAAGTACAAGGGGAGCACGATCAAGCCATATGACGGCCGTACCGATCCTCAGGAGCACTTCACTCGCTATCAGAACAATATGATGATGACGAACGCTTCGGAGGAATACATGTGCCACTGGTTCCTCTCCACCTTGGAAGGACCAGCGTATGATTGGTTCAACAACCTTCCGGAGGCGAGCATAGACTCATGGCAGGACCTGACTCAACGCTTCCTCACCCACTTTGCCGGGAGGAAGCGCGTGAAGAAGCATTTCGCTCACCTCCTCACCATCAAACAGCAGCCAGAGGAGACGCTCCGCGCCTTCCTCGACCGCTGGACAAGGGAAGCGGATGAATGTGAGGGAGCCGATGAACGCACTCTCCTGGCCTTCCTCCGCGGAGCACTTCGGCCAAGCCATTTCGCCCGGAGTCTGTTCACGGAGCCCCCGCGGTCATACCTCGCGTCGCTCCGACGCGGAGACAGGCACGCTGACGAGCTCCTGAACCAAAAGAAGGGTGGGGAGAAACAACAAAAAAGGGACCCCTCGTCCAACCCCCACCACGCGCCGGCCAACAAGGATCAGAACCAGAGAAAGAAGGCGCACCAGGAGCCCGGCGGCCAGCGAAGGGAAGATCGCTCATGGCGTCCAAAATTGGAGGCACAGCGTATCCCCTTCACCCACCCGGTGAGCATCATCCTGGACCATGCCGAAGAACAGGGCCTCATCGTCAAGGATCCCAGATCAGAAGAGGAGATATTTGCCGTCCACAAAAGAAGGACGTATTGCAAGTACCACCGCCAGAAATCCCACAAGACTGATGATTGCACCACCCTGAAGAGGCACATCGACGGACTCATCCGACAGGGGGAACTTTTCCAATTTGTCAAGGGTGCCCCCAAGAGTAACACTTGGGTTAACCTTGGCAAAAGGGGGGAAGGATCCTCCGGGAAGAAATGGGAAATCGGCGTCCTCAGTGAAGATGAGGACAAGGAAGAGCCCCGCCGGAAGAAGCATCACATTCACATCATCGTCGGCGGGAACACGGGGGGGGGGGGGGGGAGACTCGGCTACCCAACGAAAAAAGTGGGCTCAGTCCCTATACGTTGGTGAGGTGTCCCACGCCCCCCTCAGCCGAAGCGACGGCACGTGGAGGCCATCACCTTCACCGACAAGGACCTCCCCTTCGGCCCTTTGCCCCACAGAGACGCCCTCGTCGTCAAATGCGAGATTGGCGACAACATCATCCACCGCAACTACGTCGACACTGGCAGTTCCGTCAATGTGATGTACGTTGATACCTTCAGACAACTAAAGCTGAAGAAGACCGAACTCAGGCCGATACAGACTCCGTTATCCGGCTTCACCGGGGACTCTATCGACGCCGAGGGCACGATAGTGCTTCCCGTCGTGGTCGGTGACGGTACCTGTCAGGCAAAGATTGACATGGAGTTCGTGGTCGTCAACCTAGACAGCGCCCACAACATGATCTGGGGCCGACCGGCCTTGGAGGACCTTGAGGCCATCATCTCCATCAAACATCTATGCCTCAAGTTTCCCACCAAGGACGGCGTCGGCTACGCCAGAGGAAATCAGAAGATAGCCAGGGCTTGCTACCTCAAGCTCACCAGGAAGATCAATGAGGCCGAGGAGCGGGTAGACACCATCACCACCGCCTCGGCCGAAGAGGACACACCGAAGGCCGAACCGGTCGGAGACGTGGAAGAGGTTCCGTTGGACGTCTCTCGGCCGGAACGCATGCTAAAGATTGGGACACAGCTCCCCCAACAAATCCGAAGGGACATCCTCTCCGTCCTGAGAGCGTATGCCATCGTCTTTGCATGGGGACCAGAGGACATGCCGGGTATCAGCCCACAAGTGATTACACACCGACTCTCAGTCGACCCAGCCTCCTCCCCCATCAAACAGAAGAAGCGCTACCTCTCGGCCGAGAGGAGAGAATTCGTCAAAACCGAAGTGGCCATGCTGCTCTCCATCAAGCACATAAAAGAGGTGAAGTACCCCACGTGGTTAACGAACGTGGTCCTCGCACCAAAGCCGCCCACGTTCAGAATGTGCGTCGATTACACCGACCTGAACAAGGCGTGCCCGATGGACCCATTCCCTCTCCCCAACATTGATCAGTTGGTGGACGAGACGGCAGGGTGCGAGTTGATGTCGTTCCTCGACGCGTTCAGAGGGTACCACCAGATATCCATGCATGAAGACGATGCAGAGAAGACTGCTTTCATGACCCGGAGGGAATTTTCTGCTACCTCGTCATGGCCTTCGGGCTCAAAAATTCCGGCGCCACTTATACAAGAATGGTAGCCCGGATTTTTAGAGCAGTCCTAGGCCGGACGATGGAAGCATACGTCGACGATATGATCGTCAAGAGCAAACAATCCGCAACTCACGCCGACGACCTCCGGGACACCTTCGAGATCATGAAGAAGCACTTAGCAGTGGTTGGATAAAATAAAAATGGGGTAATTTGAGTTTGCACCCAATTTTATTGTCCAAATTGGACTTTGCACCCTGTTTTTAAAAATATTTGTTTTTGCACCCCAATTCTGTATGAAAAGAAAAAAATGCCCCTTAATGAGGAATATGTTGAAGGCCTACATAATTACTAATGAAGGAACATTTTTGTCTTTTTATACGGGGTTGAGATGCAAAAAGAAAGATTTTTGGGAAAATGGAAACTAATAATCCAACCTTTTAGTGGTCTTCTTACAATAGTCCCACCTTTTGATTATTCATGAATAATCCACTTTTTGCACCTCATCTTCATTCACTGGTCCCTGACTGGTTGATGACCTACCATTCCAAATTATTTTCATATCTTTGAAAACCATTATACCATAAATCTCACCTTTCACAAAGATAATATTTTGCAAAGATAAGAAAATAATTTGGAATAGCAAGCTATCAACCGGTCAGGGACCAGTGAATGAAGATGAGGTGCAAAGGTTGTATTATTCATAAATAATCAAAAAGTGTGACTAGTGTAAGAGTATGGCTAAAAGGTTGGAGTATTAGTTTCCATTTTCCGAAGATTTTTTAAGAATTGGTGCAAAGTCCAATTGGTGGCAAACTCAAATTATCCCAAATAAAAACGGGGATAACAATATACGCAGCACATCATAACCATCCCACGGCCACAATGCTTAGACTCATCTTCTCATCATCCAAATCAAAACTTTCAAGGATACCCATTAAGGGGTTTGCATCAATTCCTAATCTTTATGGTATCCGAGGCAGTTTCTCGTCCTGGTATTCGCTAAATGGAGCAAGGGGCTTCAGCAGTGAATCATGCAGGGAAGCGATTAACTATGATGTGGTGATCGTCGGAGCCGGTCCTGCCGGATTGTCAGCGGCCATTAGACTGAAACAGTTGTGCCGTGATAAAAACACCGACCTGTCCGTTTGCGTTGTTGAGAAAGGCGCAGAAGTGGGTATGTAAAGCTCATAATAACTGTCAAGGACTACACACTTTTTTTTTTCAATAGTCCGGATGTTCTTTATTGAGATGGACATTTGATGAACTATATTGAATGGATCACGGCTTTAATGTTTGTGTAGCAGTCGATTCATATTAGTTGATTCTAACAGGTGCCCATATTTTGTCTGGAAATGTATTTGAACCTCGAGCTTTGGATGAACTTATCCCACAATGGAGGCAGGAAAAGGTAATGCCATATCTGAGCCATTTGAGATCCCATTAAATTTGGAAGATTGGCGATAATATGTCTATAATAAGCATATAGCAACATTAATAGGCAGTGAGTAAATTATTAGGTGGTTTGGTAAGAATCCATTTTTACAATTTTACTCTTGCTTTGTCTTTCGGTTAGCAGGTAATAACATCTATTTCCAATTTGTGATGATATAATGGTACAAAAATTTGGTATCTTGGAAAGCTATATCTATTTGTTTTTCCAAAAGGAAGATGTATTAGTTTGAGATGTAGTAATCTTCTTTAGTTTTTTAGATTTTTTAAAACTCCATGTCTTTCATTTTTATTGGGTAGACACCATCTCTTGCTGATTCGTTGACAACTTAAAATAGCTTTACAGTGGTAACAAATATGCTGGTAGAGTGGTAGTATGTTGAAATGTACTTATGCTCATCAAGTTATTATTCTAAAGGAGTATGCATTACTTTGAGATGCAACTGTTGGTTTCATGTAGTTCAAACTCAAGGTATCATGGCCAACACTTGACACAAGGCCTTTTTTCCTTTGTCAGCCTAGTAGCCTACTTAGAGAGAATTTGCATGCGTTCTTAGGCGTATTCTTTATCTCCGACGGCTAAGTTTTGAAAGTGTATTTAATTCTATTGATTTAAATAATTTATTTAATTATTTTCTTTATGTTGAATTTGTTTATAATACAATGCTTCTCTCTTTTTTCTCTTTGCAGACACCAATTGATATTCCCGTTTCTTCAGATAATTTTTGGCTGCTTACTAAGGATCATGCATTTTCTCTTCCAAGTCCATTTGAAAATAAAGGAAACTATGTTATAAGGTGGCAAATATTGATGTATACTAATTCTTGAGCTTGAAAGCATACATATTAACTACATGTTTTTGGGTAATCTTTTTCCTATTTAGTAAGTAATTTTAGTCACTTTTAGGTGTTTCAGGTAGTTTTTCCCTTATTTTTAATCCTTTTTCCTGTTTATGACAAGACCCTCGAATTCATTTTATTTACCTTTTTTTTTGTAACCTTAAAGTATGGCATGGAGTATAATGATTACACTATAGAACCATTTCTGGACACTTTACTATTTTCAACATAGTGCAGTTTGAGCCAATTAGTCTGTTGGTTGGGAGAGATGGCTGAAGATTTAGGAGTTGAAATATACCCAGGCTTTGCTGCTAGTGAGGTGCTCATATAACTTATATGGTTATCTTTGTTGGGATAACATTTTGACTTTTCTAACCATATCCATTAGTTAATTCCAGATTCTATACAATGAAAGTGATGAGGTCATTGGTATTGCAACTAACGATATGGGAATGGCTAAAGATGGCTCTAGGAAAGAGAACTTCCAGCGGGGAGTGGAACTGAGAGGCAAGTCAATTTCACTAAGTGAAATTGTTTCTGCACTCCTGCTCTCTCTCACATTGAAAAAAGAGAGAGAGATGCACACGAAAGTTTAAATAATGTCAGAATTTGCTACATGTTTACTGATTCGTTAGAGTAAAATGCAGGGCGTCTTACTCTCCTTGCAGAGGGTTGTCGGGGATCTTTATCAGAGGTATGTGTTTATTTTTTAGTCTTCATTGTTAGGTATAAATGTATAATAGTGTTCATGATTATTATCAATAAATTATCTACTTTTTGTATTCTTTTAATTGTTTTTGGATAATTAACTACCACTATTATTGATATAACTGTGAACTTACAACTTGATGGTTTCCAGAGACTATTATGATGCTTATATAGAGAAATGAACCTAAATGCTGTAGGATTAGGAAACCTAAACCTTTAACCTAATAGGTATAGAAGACTATAATAATGCTAAGACTATTAAAACTATATAACTATCTCTATACCTTAAAAAATGACAGCGATCTTTACAATTTATATTTACAGCAACTGATTGGGAAATACAAATTGAGGGAGAAAGGGAACGGGCAACATCAGACATATGCTTTAGGAATCAAAGAGGTAACCATCAACTTCTCTTTTCATTTCATTGCATGCCTCATGATCTGTATTACTTTTTCATCAGATCTTTCTTCTTTTTTGGAGAACTTATGTGTTGATTTTAGCTGCTGATGTCTTAGGTGTGGGAAATTGATGCGAATAAACACATACCTGGGTATGTGCTTCATACCTTAGGTTGGCCCTTAGACCACAAGACATATGGAGGATCTTTCGTGTATCATATGAAAGACAGGCAGGTAAAAACCATTGTTTCTTACATTCAGGCATAGTCATAGAAAAAAGGCTGGGGCTTATTGAATTTGTTAAATTCTCTCATACTTTATTTGACTTTTTGATTACATATAAGGGAATCAGAATGATTTGATTGAAGTAGGTCATATTTCTTTAATTTATTTAAGGTTGTGGGTGAAAACTGTTAAAATCTATTTGGTGTTGCATCCATCTCTTGGGTGGTTTGCAGGTTGCAATTGGCCTTGTGGTTGCTCTAAATTATCACAACCCTTTCTTGAACCCATATGAGGAATTCCAGGTATATTATAGACAATGTTGTAAGTTATATAACTTACGTGATTTCCATTTCACATATATATAATCTTGTTTATGTTGAGCTGTATATGCATGTCATTCAAACACATACGCTTTTCATTGAAGGGTCTTTTCTTTCTCTACTCTCCTATTTAATTACCCAGTTCTTCAACTTAGGGTGAACCTGGAGTATGTTAACACTACTATTCAGTTACAGAGTACTAAATAATCATCTATGATGTTGCGGGTGTGTTGGGCCTGTTGGCATCATATATGTATTAGTTCTCAACGAAGATGTTAGTATGTTAGAATATTTCGTGTTATTTTCCTTTTTCGTTTTTCATAGAGTAATGATTTTGTTCCCCTACCAGGGAACTTCAAAATCTTAGCATTCTGATATACTTGTAAACTTTCTATCCAAATAATCCCACGTTGAATATATTTCATATTTGTGGTCTCTTTCTCATGCATAAACAGAAATTAAAGCATCATGCTGCAATTAGACCATTTCTTGAGGGTGGAACTGTTCTACAATATGGTGCTCGTACTTTAAATGAAGGAGGTTACCAGGTATGCTGAAGAATCTCTTGATTCCAATTCTCGGAATGAATGAGGGTATATATTGAAGTAATAATCAAGTTGTCTCTTACTCTCCTAACACATTTAACACAACATAAACGTATGTATCATGTCTTGTAGCTTTTGTAATTACTTTGCATGTAAAGTCTTATTGCATTGTATGGTTAGGTTTGTAATCATTTTAAAGTTGCATGCGAACTGATTGTTTCTTTTAATTTCTACGCTGTGAAGTATTTTACCACCCTCCCACATGTGAAATGTTTTGCATAGTATAATGTAAAAGTGATTTAAAATGTCTAACACTTGGCATAAAAAGTCAAACCAAATGGCGTAAAGCCGTAAACTCTTCACACCCCTTCAATTTGTGTGAAGTGTTTTTTTGCTTGATATCAATCACCCCCTAGGAGAGAGATAGCTTGGGGTGGGACACTGCTCGAGTGATCATTCTAATCAGCCTACTCATATATTGTTGAAGTTGACACAAATCTCACATACAGCGGTGGATTTTGTGCTTTAATATACTTCTTTTATGTGATGTGCAAGTACAAATATGATATAGTTAAGTTTCAGTCTATTCCATATCCAGTTTTCCCTGGTGGGGCAATTATAGGATGCTCAGCAGGATTCCTAAACGTACCAAAAATAAAGGGAACTCATACGGCCATGAAATCAGGTATTTCGAACTCTTTTGAGAATTTCATTTCAAAGACATTATTTAATCCTTGACTTTTAAGTAAAGGTTATTTTTCAAAATCAAGACTTTGCCGAAAATAAACACTTAATATCATCATTTCTTTTGTTTTTGGAGACATTTTATTGTCACACACATCAATGAAGTTATGGAGGTGGTTTATAAAGGAAAAAAGTAGGGGATGAGTATATTTTCTTTACATGAATTAAAATAATGTTCTCATCATTATATGATACGATTGTATATAACTATACAAGTGATTAAATCTTGGATGCTGCTTGCAGTTTGTTTTCTTTTCCCACTTCAACTCTAAATGCCCTTATTTCAAATGATCTAACATCACAATTTTCCATTATTTACCTTTAAGAGGGGAAAAAGTCAACTGGCGAAAAAATAATATGTACCATCTCGGACCTAGCGTATGGCTTATATTTAACTTCTATATAGAATAACTAAAAAGCAATATTGTAATGACCAAAATAGTGCAATAATATAGATGGTCCATTGGAAGATAATAACTTCACAATGAGTTTGTAACACTGTGAGTAAATAGTAATAGTAATTAAACTAAAAACCTTTGGGTATGACTTGCAAAAAGAAAAACAGGTTTTCTTTAATAAGAATTTTTGCATAGAATAAGGTCCGTTGATGCTTGTAAATTTCAATCTGTTAGGAATGCTAGCAGCAGAATCTGCATTTGAAATGCTTGGGAGAGGGTCAAATATGGAAACTTATTGGGACAACTTAAAAAGTTCGTGGATATGGAAAGAACTTTACCATGCAAGGAATTATCGTCCTGTGAGCTTTTCCTTGCCCTTACTTTAGATTTTTAACTCTCTCTCACTCCACATACACACCTGTTAACAGTGTAGTGCTCTGCAATAATTCTTCATCCCGTTTTATAAGGACTTTTATCTTTCATTTATGATGTCAACCATATTTTTATGACCTTTTTTGGGGATACTTTTAGGCATTCGAATACGGGCTCTTTCCTGGTTTGGCATTGAGTGCTGTAGAACAGTAAGCTGTTATGTTCTCATGCATGAATTCTCAACACAGCCTTTCCTTTGCAATGTTACAAATTATTCTGTTTTTTTTGGCAGCTATATATTCAAGGGAAGGTCTCCATTGACATTTAAGCACGGGAAACCTGATCATAAAGCAACAAATGTAAGGAACCTTTGACTATAAATATAAACATTTTTTAATTTGGGTTGACATCCAGTCTTTCCTTTTGACGGAGAATAGAATATAGATTCTGAAGGATTGTTGGGACCAAGTAAAACCATTTAGCTTGAACTAGCATTATAGGCGCCATCATTTCAATTTGCCTAGGGGTCCATTTAATCCAGGAAACTGCTAGGGAAAAAAACGGAAAAATAGAGGGAAACTTTGGAGAAAAATGCTTCAAACTAAATTATCCAATTTTAATTCTTCTATTTGTTTTTTATGCATATCTGTGATATAAAGCCTAAAACCATTTAGCTTGAACTAGCATTATAGGCGCCATCATTTCAATTTGCCTAGGGGTCCATTTAATCCAGGAAACTGCTAGGGAAAAAAACGGAAAAATAGAGGGAAACTTTGGAGAAAAATGCTTCAAACTAAATTATCCAATTTTAATTCTTCTATTTGTTTTTTATGCATATCTGTGATATAAAGCCTAAAACCATTTAGCTTGAACTAGCATTTTAGGCGCCATCATTTCAATTTGCCTAGGGGTCCATTTAATCCAGGAAACTGCTAGGAAAAAAAAAAAACGGAAAAATAGAGGGAAACTTTGGAGAAAAATGCTTCAAACTAAATTATCCAATTTTAATTCTTCTATTTGTTTTTTATGCACATCTGTGATATAAAGCCTAAAAATCTCCCCCCCCCCCCCCCCGGGTTTTCTTATACGTTTCCTTAACATTTTACGGGTTCCAGACATAATGCTTGAAGGAGTGACATTAGGCTCTGTTTGTGCATTGCACCTAACAAGCTTTATGATGTTTATATCACATGTATAGCTATATTTATGGTACTCCGTATTATATAATGAGACACCTTTATAATTATATGGTTCTTGTTAATAACTGAGTTATTGCAGGACGCAAAATCATCATTTCCCATTGAGTACCCAAAACCAGATGGAGCCATCTCTTTTGACATACTCACCTCCGTGTACAGGTAAAATCCAGATCACATTTTCAATTGTGAAGGAAATCACAGTCATTTATCATGTGTTTATGGCATTATGATAGGAGCAACACGAATCATGATCATGACCAGCCGGCCCACCTTCTATTAAAAGATTCCACTACAACTCCACAAGTTGTTAACTTGCTTAAATATGCTGGACCGGAATCACGATATTGCCCTGCCAGAGTTTATGAGTAATATGATTTATCATCTGTCTCATTCATATGATCTATTGTAGGTTCCTTGGTAATTAAATCTTTATCATCAAAACGACAGGTATATACCAGACGATAATGGTCAGCTGAAGTTGCATATTAATGCTCAAAACTGCTTGCATTGTAAGGTAACCATCATATCCTACCTCATGTATGCATCCCATTATTTAAATGGTATTATTATTACTATTATTAATGTTATTATTTTCATTATCATTATTCTCACTATAACTATCATTGTTACTATTTACGGGTAACTACTCTGTCTCATCATTTTCTTCCCATTTTTCTTTTTGGGATGCCCCAAAAACTTTTTACCATTTCCTTTTAAGGAATGGTGTATGGTTAGCACTCCTTTTTTTTAAATCTAACCATAATCATACAATATCCATTTTATTAAGGGGTTTTGACATGAATATTAGTAAAAAAAAGCTAATGGACGAAAAAGTGGGATTTCTTTTTAATTTCCAAGCGTACGACTAATAAAGGCATACATGTCTAAACTACCCTTTCTAAATCAACGCTGCATCCGGATGAGTAATCCCTACGCACTCAGTCCGTCAATCTTGCAATCTATTCCGTGTGTTTTTCATTTTAATACTTCATACTTCCTCCGTCTCTTTTTAATCGCAACGTCTTGACTTTTTGCACTGTTCACATGATCTACTTTGACTACATTTTATACTATTATTTTATGGAAATTATTTTTAAAAAAATATATTTTTCAATTCATATCATTACACATTTTCAAAATCTGATTTTTAATATTTTTTTTTATTAATAGAGATTAAGATATACTTACGGTCAAATGTGTGTGTTGGCAAATGTGCAAAGGTTGACTGTTGCAACTAAAAAAGAACGGAGGATAGTATTACTTACGTATGGAGTATATCTCAAGATACATTATCGTTTTCATAAGAATTATTATTCATATAGATGTATGGAGTAGCAAATATGAGTAAATATTTAAATTATTACATCTAAATTTGTGTGAAAAATTTTCCAAGTGACAAACGTTCAATTACTGTTGTTTTAGTGACTACCTTTCGAGTGACCACCATTCCAATTACTATTGTTTAAGTGACTACTGTTTCAATTACTACCGCTCCATTGACCACCGTCTCAGTTACTACCGCTCCATTGACCACCGTCTCAGTTACTACCGCTTCAGTGACCACCGTCCCAGTTACTACCGCTTCAGTGGCCACCGTCTCAGTTACTATCGCTTCAGTGACCACCGTCTCAGTTACTACCGCTCCAGTAACCACCGTCCCAGTTACCACAGTTTCAGTTACTGTCGCTCCAGTGACCACCGTCTCAGTTACTACCGCTCCAGTGACCACCGTCCCAGTTACCACCGTTTCAGTTACTGTCGCTCCAGTGACCACCGTCTCAGTTACTACCGCTCCAATGACCACCGTCCCAGTTACCACCGTTTCAGTTACTGTCGCTCCAGTGACCACTCCAATCTAGTCACTACTACTTTACTTATCATCCTCTCAACTATTACTGCTCCAGTGACCACCGTTATAGTTACAAAAGTCCAAAATCCATAGTGACCAAAATCTTTGTGATTAAAATTATCAGAGAAACAAATCCATTAGTGGCCAACAGAACATTGACTACCGCCGGTCATAGTGACAAATTTATTGCCCACCGTAATGAATTCCCAACTAGTGGCATTGCCACCCATAGTGACCTGCCGCCTAGTGCTGCCTAGTCACATTGCCAACTTGCAGCCCATAGTGACATGTCGGTCGGTGACCTCGTCACCCACGATTACATTTCGGCCAGTGACGTTGCCGGCCATTTACCAAATTTTTTGTCATTGGCCAACTGCCTTCATTGTGACCACAACCATAACTGCCGGTAAGACGACTGCCGCCCCCGGCGGCAGCCGGTGGTGCACTGCCAGCCTCCCCAGCCCATCCCCTCTCCGGCAGTCCTGCAGCCCCCAACCACCCCTCTCCTGCCCCTGCTTCACACCCCAGACCTGCCCCATCACCCCATGCCCCACCAGTCCACCCTAGCCCCTGCATCACACCCCAGACCCGCCTCATGCCGCACCAGTCCACTCCAGCCCACCTCCTGACCCACCAGCCCACCCTAGTCCTCCCATTCACAGTAGACTCCACTCGCCCAGCCTACCCCAGCCCCCAGCTTCACCCTCACACCCCAGCAACCATCCCCTAGTCTCACCCTCAGACCCCAGGCCCCGGCCCTCAACCCCCAGCACACAGCTTCCAATCCAAGGCCCCAAGCGCACCACTGTAACTCTAGTCGCGAACTCGCCGATGATCGATTACTCAACACCGTCGCTCGCTGCACCGCTGCACCGCTGCTCTTCGTCGCTCCCCTGGCCTTGCCTCGGTGTTTTCAGATCTGAAGATTCCCGACCTCGTCCATCAACACCAAGAGACCGAGAAGAGGAGAAAGAAGAAAGAGAACGGAAAACATGTGGAAGTCGGCGAACAGCGTCGATATGGCGGAGGCAGAGCTTGAACAACCAAGGCTTGAGGTTTTTCTGGAGATCGATTGCACAAAGACGGGTGATGGAGAATCAGACGGGAGATCGATACGGGAAACGGGTGAAGGGTTAATTTTGGATTTTCAGTTTAGAGGAGTGTTTGGGGTTGATTAAAAAAAGTGATTTTCAGCTTTTGGCTTAAAAAAAGTTGAAAAGAGTGTTTTCAAATGATAACTTCTACTTAAATTAATCACTTTAAAGCTAAAAGCTAGAAGCAGGTAGAAGAGTGCTTTAAACTGCTTCTCACTTTTTCTATTACACAAAAGTACTTATTTTACCAAACACTACCAACTTTTACTTTTTCAGAATCACTTTTTTCTCAAACACTACCAACTTTTACTATTAATCACTTTTCCCAAAATCACTTTAAAAAATCACTTTTTTAAAGTTGAAGCAATCACAAACACTCCCTAATTAGCTCTCTTTTTGTCCAGATTCAATTGTGGTCCTTTTTGTCTTTGCAAAACTCCAAAGTAATATTGAGTCATTCTTTCTTTTATTAATAAGCGTGACTATTTAGTCCGAAGAAATTTTTGGGACGGAGGTAGTATTCACTATTAATTATTCCTATTACTGTAGTAACCAATTTTCATGTTCTTAGTTTTTACCCCGGCCTGCTAATTGTAAGATTTTTTCCCTTCAATATCTTTTATATAGGCATGCGATATAAAAGATCCTATGCAGAACATCAAATGGACAGTTCCAGAAGGGGGTGGTGGCCCAGGCTATACAGTCATGTAGAAGATTTTTTGTGGGAACTGTATATTATACCTACAAACTTGAAAAGAGAGATATTTGAGTGGACATGGTCCGGTTCTAATCCAGTTTCGGATCGGCTCAAGTTACCAGAATAATGTTGATAAGCTAAAAATAAGGTTATACTCCGTAATTATTAATGGAGCGTTTTGATTGAAAAAGAGAAGTTTACAACATTTGTTAAAATTTTTTTTTTTTATGTCTACCTCCCCATAATGTAAAATGTAAGATACATGTGAGTTTGGTGAGACTTTTAAGAAAATAAAAGATAAAATGATTACTTTATAAGTTTAACCTTAAAAAAGTAAGAAAGTAAGTTAAGGTGAGATGAGTTCACAAAAAATAAAAAGATAAATGACAGATAAAAGGATAAACGTGGGGTGGTTAAAAGTTAGTGGAGTTCAATTAAGGAAAGTGGTTATATTTTTGAAATGGGACAGAGGGAGTTATAGAAAAAGAAAAAAACAGTCTAAAGTACCTATTCACCTACTTTCATCTTTTAACTTTTAAGTATTTCTGCACCTATTCACATTGGGCGTTACAAAAAAAGATAAACAAAAACCTAATATACAACTTCTGTGCGAGGTGATAAATTAGTTGGGATACATCTTGATGGGAGATCAAGGGTCGAGAGATCAAGGTGAGTCTGGTTATAAAATAAAATAATTGATGAAAAATAGTTAAAATGGTCACCTTCAGCGATTTCAAGCAATTAATTTAACAGATTATTACACAACTTAGCGCGTGATAGCAAAATTTGTGTGTTAGGTGAAAAATTTTAGTGTCCAAAAGCAAATGCTATCAAAGGGCTCTAAACTATTAAACCCCCCCTCCCACCCATCTTTTTTTTTGTTTTATATTTTTAAGGCTCTTTGCTTGGATTGAGGCTTCTCTGATCAGGTTGCTTAGTTTTGAGTGTTTGGTTTTGCTTCTAATCTTGGTACCTGACTGTAGCCATATACTACATATTTATCTATTTACACATGTGGGAAGAAAGGAGGGTTATAAGTAGGGGTGCAAACTGCAAACGAGCCAAGCCGTTCGCGAGCCGCTCGTGGATTGTTCGGGTAAAGCTCGACTCGAGTTCGGTCATATCCAAGTTCGGCTCGAGTTCGGCTCGACTCGTATACTAAACAAGCTCAAATCAAGCCTCCTTATTTTAGGCTCGTGGCTCGCGAGCCGGTTCGCGAGCCTAGTTGTGTGTGTATATAGATATATTATGTATAATAAATATATACGGAGTATATATATATATATATATATATATATATATATATATATATATATATATATATATATATATATATATAATTATATACTCCGTAATATTTTTGGGATGGTTATTCTAATTTAGGATTACTCTATTTTTAATACATATAACTATTTTATAATAGAAATAAATAAATATAATATTATTGTTATTATAACCATTATCTATAATAATTGTAATCTAGAATAAGTATTGCTATTTAGTTTTTCATTAGCTCAATTGGAATGAGGTAAAAAGCCATTTGACATTAACTTCCAACAAAACGAATGAGTAGAGGAGCTGGAATTTCCTTGCTAGCCTTCCCCAGCAACCCGAGCTCGAACCCCTTCACCGTAAGCTTTTGTACTCCGTAGGACTAATACTCCCTCTTTTTAACTTCTAACTACTATATTTCCCACACCGGAAGGTCACAAGTAGTTTCCTCTGACATTGATCTATAAAGCACCTCATCTCAATTGGATCAATCGAGATACCTAGCAATCTGCACATTCTCGAAGTGTCTGATAAATGCTTAAGCTCGAGCGGCTCGTGAACTCAAGTAAATCTTTCGAGTCGAACTCGAGCTTTAATATTCATGCTCGATCGAGTTTGAGTCGAACTCGAGCATTTAATATATTCTCGAGCTCGAGTTCGAGCATATGTGAGTTTTGGCTCTGACATTGAGTTTTAGCACCTCATCTATAAAGCTTTTGTACTCCGTAGGACTAATACTCCCTCTTTTTAACTTCTAACTACTATATTTCCCACACCGGAAGGTCACAAGTAGTTTCCTCTGACATTGATCTATAAAGCACCTCATCTCAATTGGATCAATCGAGCACCTAGCAATCTGCACATTCTCGAAGTGTCTGATAAATGCTTAAGCTCGAGCGGCTCGTGAACTCAAGTAAATCTTTCGAGTCGAACTCGAGCTTTAATATTCATGCTCGATCGAGTTTGAGTCGAACTCGAGCATTTAATATATTCTCGAGCTCGAGTTCGAGCATATGTGAGTTTTGGCTCTCGGCTCGGCTCGTTTACACCCCTAGTTATAAGTGTTGGATTTGCTTGTATTGGGATTTTGGGAATACCCTTCGGTGTGTAAGTTTGAACCTTCTATATATACATATATTTATCTATTTACACATGTGCGAAGAAAGGAGTGTTATAAGTTTTATATATTGCTTATCCTTTAATTTTGATAATATCGCCCCCTTGTATTTGTTTTAGATTCAAACACCATTGATTTAAATTTAAACTCTGTATAATACGGAGTACTGTTTAATAATTTTTTGTGATGAAATAATTATATATTTGTGCCTCCAAAATAGGGGGAGAATCACATGTTGATGGATTTTTCACTATCTATTAAAAAAATTGGGAGGTAATCAAATTATTTTCACTATCGTACCAAAATAAATAAATAGAAGTGGAGGGTGCCAAAAGAATTATAAAGTAAATTTTAGTGAAATATGGAGTAACAGATTTGGAAGGGGGGCCCTTACCCAATATATACCTCCGCCGCTCTGCCCTTTGTCAATTTTTTTTTTCTTTTTTCTTTTTTTTTTTACAGAAAAATTATTACTTCTTTATTAAAGTAAGTAATTTATGATTCTATTTAGTTGCACTTTTCTGCACAAACTTCAATCATATACTTTATATATTTTTTTATTTCTCACGTAATTTGATGTTGTAATGTCCACCGGGACAAAGGTAATATTTATTCTATGTCAAAAGTAAATAAAATAGTAAGGGAATGGACCCTAAATAGAACTAAACTAATTCCAAAATGCACAAGTAAAACTATAATTAACTTTATCTTCCTATTCTGCTCTTAACATAATATAATAGGAAAATCATAATTTGATTTTAATTTGTAATCAAATCGAAAACATATATTTTTAAAATAATAAAATAATAAAAGTTAAAATAAATGAAAAATGGAAAAAAATAAAAACTTTAACAATAAATTAAAAATAGAAAAAATACATAAAAACATTAAAAAATATGGAGGCCTTTCCCATGTCACCTTCCAGTATGTCACCTTCGCCTGGCGAAAAAAATGCTATTTTGGGTAAAATTGATATTTTTTTCTTCTGAAAATGCTATGATGATGACACTTTTACTCTTTTAAAATGCCAGGTGTTTCTATAAAATTGCCATCAAATAATATCACTGACACACGTTGGCATTTTTTGAGGTTGTCGGAGATGGTGGTGCTGGGACTGGGAGGTTGTTGACGCGGTAGTAGAAACCTACTTTTGTTTTATTTTAAACAATTTTTAAGTTTTAAAATTTAATTTTTCTTTACTTTTCGAATTTTCATTTTTTTTAATTTTATTTAATACAGAGTATTTGTTATCATGTTTTTAATTTTTCACATTTTTATTATAAGTAATGATGTAATGTTATTACTTTTACGTTTTAATTATTATTTAGATATGAATTGTATTGAAACAAAGCAAAGATAGGAGGGGAAAATAGTCCTATTGATAATTTTAAAGTTATAATTCTATCTTGCAATTAAAATTTGATTGAATCCTATGGACTCGTTTGGTAGTTTACACGTTAAATCTTTGCACGCGAAGTGATTGCATGCAAATTATAGGGAAGCAATCATTTTGCATGTAAAATAGATTACAATGTTTGGCTAGATGTGCAGTTTATTTTTAAATTGCACGCAAAGTTGTTGCAGTGCTCCATAAAAGGCATGCAAAGTATTTTAACACCCTCTCCCACGTAAAATACTTTACATGGTACAATGCAAAATATTTTAAAAAAGTGCTCTACAGTTTACATTAAATAATCAAACCAAACAGTGTAAACATTTTACATCCTTACACTTCGTGCAAAGTAATTATTTTACGTCATACCAAACACCCCTTATGTGTGAAATTAGCTAAAAAGTAATGGGAAGTACGGAGTAAATAAAAAGTGTGAAGTACAATCATCAATCATGTGATCATGTCTCTCCGCTGAGGCCACGTCATGGCCGGAGAGAAATAAAGGCGGTAAGTATACATCATTTTCCCCTTTATTGGAGACCCATTGTCTTTGTCTCATTGTGAGCGGACTGATCTTAACGAATTCACATGCAGAGTACATTACGAGTTCACATGTAGCTACTGTGAATATGCGCTTATAACTTAAATCCAATAATTTTGTTTCCATTGATCATTCGTATTCACATAAATAAGATAAACAATGTAGATATATTTCTCGATTCAAGTTCGAATACAAATAACAAATATTGCAAAAATATTACCTATGGAGTTTGTATGGATAAATATGATCATTTTACTTTTGGACAAAAATATGACCATTTAGAAAACTCTTCCGTCTTCCAACCGATCAACACAATGTCCGGGGGAGCCTGAAGTAATTAGGGTTGAAACTCTCTCCATTGAATTTCAAACTCTTATGTGCCTAGCGATTTTCGAACTCGAGACCTCTCACTAGGCATGGTAACCGCACAACCATCAAAACCTTATCTCACCGTGTCACTACTTCCTACGCATAGCTATGGCCTAGCCTCCTCTCCACCGCCATAAACCACCGGCCATGGTGCCACACCGATCTTCATATTCCTTCATCTCTACATAGGGTTGAGGCGCCTATTCTCTTCGCACGGCCATGCCGCCTTCTCTCAGTCGGTCCGCCTCTTTGAGCCTCGTCCCGCCTCTCTGCTGCATCTCGTCGTCCCTCGCTCGAGGGTCGTCGATGATGACCAACAAGCCGCCATAGCTTTATTCTCTTCTAATCTAGTGTAGGCAAATGAGGCGGTGTCGGGTTGGGTGACTCAAGTAGGTTACACAGGTGGTTGAGTCAAGATTATAAGGTAGGACGTGGCTTGAGGGGCTGTGTTGCGGCATTGTTGGGTGGGCTGGGAAGGATGCCGTCTGCTGGGGCCTGGGTTGGGACGCAGCTGATGGAGGAGGGTCACGCTAGAGTCACTTTGAC